CCTGGAGTAAAAATGAACTAAATCTGTGGCCTAGAACCAAGCCTATACAGAGTCAACTTCTATCAGTCAATCTCAGCTTTATTAAAGGTGTGAGAAATAAATGCTTATTTGCTATATGCCACTGAGATCTTTTGGTATTGGTTATGCAGCACTGATTCTAGCAAAGCTGGTTGAGACAATAAGCTAGACTCAAATATTGGAAACTCCTAATTAGAAGACAGAAATGTAAGAGGAAAAGCCCATCTCTACTGCTAGACTGCCTACATTCACTGCCCAGCTCTATTTTCATTCAGCAGATTTTCACCCTACTGATTATCCTGTGTCTGTTTCCTTAATTATAAAACAGGAATAATAACGTGTTTTTTGTGAGGATTAAACAGATAATAGTTTAACATATGATAATATGAAATTTAGTATGTAATAGATGCTTAATTAGTATTTATACCAAACTGAAGGTTTTAGATTTTTCCCAGCAGGCCAGTGGTTTTTAACTATATTTTCATGGAACACTGTTGTATATCAGCTGAAGTGTTCCTTAATAAATCAGAATAATGGTGGCTTTTTCTCAGTATGCAGATTAATTTAAGTAAATTTACACAAATTCCTTGTTATAAGATTTTTTCTTCCCTATGGTTGGCACAATTTTGTTTGCAAGCCAAATGAAAACAAGTAAATTAACATGAGTTATTATTATTAACAGAACCAATTCAGAAACATTAATTATACCTAGTATAATAATGTTTTTTAAATAGACATGTGTGGCACGAATTGTCATTTTATATTACACAAGCAAAATACAGTATTTTCTCCCAGGGTTCCTGCTCCTAGTTCCTGTGATGAAATTGAAAATATTTTTTTTCCATTACACTTTGCAAATAATACTGTTCTTCCAAGGACACAATAATTTGTAGATGCTTTGCATGCTTAAGATCACTGGTGCTGAGGACTCAGAATCTCTGTGAAAAATCTACTTGGTGTTGGTTTTTTTTGTTTGTTTGTTTGTCTGTTTGTTTTAAGAGAAATATGAGCTTGAAAGCAACCTCTTCAACCTCAGCTGCAGCAACTTCTTCCGAGAAACATCACCAAAGGCAAGGGAAGCAAGGGCAAAAATGAACTATTGGGATTTCATCAAGATAAAAAGCTTTTGCACAGCAAAAGAAACAGTCCACAGAACCAAAAGACCACCGACAGAATGGGAGAAGATATTTGCAAATGACATATCAGATAATGGGCTAGTATCCAAAATCTATAAAGAACTTACCAAACTCAACACCCAAAGAACAAATAATCCAATCAAGAAATGGGCAGAAGACATGAACAGACATTTTTCCAAAGAGGACATCCAAATGTCCAACAAACATGAAAAAGTGCTCAACATTGCTTGGCATCCAGGAAATCCAAATCAAAACCTCAGTGAGATACCACCTCACACCAGTCAGAATGGCTAAAATTAACAAGTCAGGAAACAACAGGTGTTGGCGGGGATGCAGAGAAAAGGGAACCCTCCTACGCTGTTGGTGGGAATGCAAGCTGGTGCAGCCACTCTGGAAAACAGTATGGAGGTTCTTCAAAAAGTTGGAAACAGAGCTACCATATGACCCAGTATTTGCACTACTGGGTATTTACCTCAAAGATACAAATGTAGGGATCCAAAGGGGTATGTGCACCCCAATGTTTAGAGCAGCAATGTCCACAATAGCCAAACTGTGGAAAGAGCCAAGATGTCCTTTGACAGATGAATGAATAAAGATGTGGTGTATACACACACACACACACACACACACACACACACACACACACACACACTGGAACATTATGCAGCCATCAAAAGGAATGAGATCTTGCCATTTGCAACGATGTGGATGGAACTGGAGGGTATTATGCTGAGTGAAATAAGTCAATCAGAGAAAGACATGTATCATATGATCTCACTGATATAAGGAATTCTTAATCTCAGGAAAGAAACTGAGGGTTGCTGGAGTGGTGGTGGGTGGGAGGGATGGGGTGGCTGGGTGATAGACATTGGGGAGGGTATGTGCTATGGTGAGCACTGTGAATTGTGTAGGACTGTTGAATCACAGACCTGTAACTCTGAAACAAATACTACATTATAAGTTAAAAAAAAAAAAAAGAAGATAGTAGGAAGGGAAAAATGAAGGGGGGGAATCGGAGAGGAAGACAAACCATGAAAGACTATGGACTCTGAGAAACAAACTGAGGGTTCTAGAGGGGAGGGGGTGGGGGATGGGTTAACCCGGTGATGGGTATTAAAGAGGACATGTATTGAATGGAGCACTGGGTGTTATACGCAAACAATGAATCATGGAACATTACATCAAAAACTAATGATGTAATGTATGGTGATTAAAATAACATAATAAAATTAAAAAAGGAAAAAGAAAAGAATGTTTACCCTCACAGTAATATATAAAGTTTAATTGAAGGTAGAAAGGGCTGGGACCCAAGGAGGCTACAGGACAACCTTAGTAAAATAAAAAATGATTCCTTGTCAGAAGCACAGGAGAAAATCGTTAATTAATGAAAAAGATGTTAGGAAAGTGGATAATTTGACAACATCTGGAGGCAGGTGGCAAGAGAAAGGAAAGAAATCTTTAAACTTTAGTGCAAATGAAAATCACTCTGAGAGCTTAGTAAAAATGCTTAGATAGTCCTTGTCCCCATTCCCAAGAATTCTAGCTCAGAATTTCTGGAAGAGTGACCTAGAACCTACAGTTTAAACATATTCTATTTCCGATTCTTTTTTTTTTTAAGATTCTATTTATTTATTTATTCATTTGAGAGAGCGAGAATGAGAGAGAGAGAGAGCACATGAGAGGGGGTAGGGTCAAAGGGAGAAGCAGACTCCCCGCTGAGCAGAGAGCCCAATGCGGGACTTGATCCTGGGACTCCAGGATCATGACCTGAGCCGAAGGCAGTCGCCCAATCAACTGAGCCACCCAGGCGCCCCCATTTCTGATTCTGATTCAGGTGGTTGAGAGTCACATTTGGAGAAAAATTAGAACATAATATACTCTAATCATTTGGAAGCATTAGTTTGACTTTGTACTTCAATTATTTACCACTTTGTATGTCCCAGTTACTGGCAAGGATTGATGCAGATGGTAAACCGATGGTGAAGGATGACTCCGAGATTTCATGCTTAAGCATATGAGAGAAGAATAATGCCATCAATGAAGATGAAGTACACACTGATAAAATGACATACTGGAAGGATGGAAAGATGATGCATTTTTTTTTAAATTTGTTGTATACTGGACTTTTTGAAAGGTGGAGGGGAGCATTAAATACCAACCCTCTTCCGTATATGGCTCTGAAGAAAGTTGTGAATAAGCTAAAATTACGGTGTGTCACTGATGCTCTTCACACTGCAACACAGCATTAAGATGCCTAGTCCCTGCAATCTTACCAGACAGGAGCAATTGCATTACTCTGTTACTTCCAGCTAAAGCATAAAGTTGCTAAAAGATATTATCCCATCCATGCTAACTAAAATAGTCCTTTACCAAAGTTTTACTATAGACCTTGTACTTGTCATTTATAACACACACTTCAGAGTTCAGAAAGAGTGCAATTACTTTTTGTGCTATTAAGATGCACTTAAGTGCTATAAGAACAAGGATCACATCTTATTTGTCTACTGTCAGATACTCATATTTTAGCACACAGCTAAGCAAGGAGTAGAAATTCTAATCAACTTGTTGAATGAATAAGTTTTTTTTTTTAAAAAAAAGAACAATGATGGGCGCCTGGGTGGCTCAGTTGGTTAAGTGTCTGTCTTAGGCTCAGGTCATGATTCCAGGGTCCTGGGATCAAGCCCCCCATGGGGTTCTCTCCTCAGCAGGGAAACTGCTTCTCCCTCTGCCCCTCCCCCTGCTCATGCTCTTGCACTCTCTCTCTCTTTAATAAATAAATAAAATCTGGGCGCCTGGGTGGCTCAGTTGGTTAAGCGACTGCCTTCGGCTCAGGTCATGATCCCGGAGTCCCAGGATCGAGTCCCACATCTGGCTCCCCGCTCAGTGGGGAGTCTGCTTCTCCCTTTGACCCTCTCCCCTCTCATGCTCTCTCTCTCTCTCTCAAATAAATAAATAAAATCTTAAACAATGAAATAAAAAAATAAATAAAATCTTTAGAAAAAAATGTTAACTTCTGGTTCTGGTCAGGCGTTTTTTGTTAATTATCCGCTCAAACCAAAATTCCATGTTACTGATGTCAAAATTAAATAGATAAGGAAGGTTTGATTCAAGATTATGGCAAGAGAGAGGTCACAACTCTATTCCAGCTTACGTCCTTGGAAACTGCTGGAGATTTTAAAAGCTGGGGTAGCGTGCATCATAAACCACTAATTGGCCTTCCCCCAAGGAAATGCTTCCTTTTTACCCTAATTTCGTGACAGAAGGTAGTTTTACAATTTGGCACAAGGTGCGAGCCTGAGTCAGGCTCTCCTACCCTTCCACAGGGACTGGGAGAGAGAAGGGTGGCTGTCTTCTTTGATTACATTTCAAAAAAATGTTCTTTTAAAAAGACAGCCCTTGGTTGTAAAACTGGCACGAACTTTTAAAAGTATTTCTATCTCAGAAGGACAGAGAATGAATTTACAATCACAAGTTTCTAAAGTAAATGCTCTAAGGAAAGGGAGGTAGTCTTAGAGGCAGTCAGAAAGAGGTCCATAATTTATACCTGAGCTGAGGGAAAGTCAAGCTCGTCTTGACCAATGATTAGCTGTTTCTGCAGTTTTGTACCAAGGAACTCAATTATGAGCTTCCAATCTCTCATGGTTCCCTAAGCATCGTTGCTGTTCACTTTACACAACCTCCTTTTGCTTACTTTCCTACTTTCTACTTCTGACCAAAGCGCAGAGCTTGTCCGTTCTTTCTGGCAAGGCGCGTGCGCAGAAGACCGTGCGCGCCTGACGTCATTGAACGCGCCTGCTCCTACTTGTTAGCAACCTAAAGCGTCCGTAGTATCACCGGCTGCTGAGATGTACGAACTTCCGGTTGTCCTGGCAGCTGTCGCTACCGCTGCTGCTGCTCCTGCTCCTGCCACCTGCCAGGGCCGGGCCTCAGTTCAGGGTTTGGTCACTTCTTCGTTCTCCACTGCGCCCATGGTTCCTCCTGGAGCCAGGGCGGCGGGCCCGGCGGCTCCCGCGTGGTGAGAGGGCAGTCCAGGGACGATGAAGGTCCCGCACTGCAGTTGCTGTCTCAGCCACCTCTTGGCCTCCGCCCTCCTGCTGCTGCTATTGCTGCCAGGTTTGGGAGGGCCTTTGACTTTGCTGTTGCAGGCGGCCGAGGCCGCACCGGACCCTGGGCCTCCGGACCGCGGGCCGCGGACCCTGCCGCCCCTGCCTCCCGGCCCCACTGCCGCCCAGTTGCCGGGCGGCGCCCCAGCACAAGCCGCAGGGCCGCGGGGCGCTGAGGGCAGCAATGGCAGTAGCCCCCGGGCGGGGCTCTCAGCAGAAGACTCCGGAGGGAAGGCGGGGGAAGAAGACTCAGTGGGTGGGAGGCTTGCTGTGAGCCCCAACCCCGGCGACAAGCCTATGACCCAGCGGGCCCTGACCGTGTTGATGGTGGTGAGCGGCGCGGTGCTGGTGTACTTCGTCGTCAGGACAGTCAGGTGAGGCTAAGCCTCCATGAGTTTCCCCTGCAGGCCTGGGATGGGCTGCCTGGTGACCTAGCAAGGCAGATTTCTGTGACCTGGCGTTGCACCTGCTTGCCCCCATTATCAGGGATGCCTGCCTGAGTGCGATTGTGATGTTTGTCTTTAAAAGCCTGTGGGTACCATTGGAAGAAGTTAAACCACCAAGTAGTTACTCTCTTTCATTTATAAATTATAAATTAATACCTCACCTCCAAATCTCTTTACTTTGCTCAAAGGGCACACTTTCCTTGAAGACGAAGCAATCTTGTATTGACCACACTATCTTCTAATACTTCCCTTTTTTTACTCTCTATATTGTTGTGTACTTTGTTTTTTTGCCTGTCAATGCAAGCCTCCTAAGGACAGGATTCCTATTAGTAACATCTGTGAGACTTAGAGTTCTTTGTAAAATACTCTCACTTATTAGAAAATTAGTATTACTTGGATTAATAGTAGTGCAGAAAGACCTTATGGATATTTTATAAAATTTAAAATTTATAAATTTAAAAATTTTTAAAAATTTATACAATTTAGAAGAAAAGTTATTCCTTATGAGCAGTTTCTCATATTGGTCTTTAATCGGCCATATAAATAATTAGATTATAATATATGACGTTTCCCACATTCCACTGTTTTTGACCTGGAAAAGTAACAGTTTTGTATGGTTCAGTCTATGCCATGTACCCCATTAATCGGAAAGATTTAGCACTCATTTTGCATGGCACAAAGTATTTCAGTGCAAAATGTTAACAATTGCATGATAAGATGGAAAACCTATGCAACAAAAGAAAAAAATGTCAAATATATTCAATTTTAATATTGGAGCAAATATTTAATACCTAATGAAACTAAACATATCTGACTTCAAATTTACAAAATTTTGAACTCGTAAATGGGTAAATTTGATATTTCACTTACCAAAAAAGCCTTTCTAAAATGAATTCATCTATAAATAATAGTTCTATGTCATTCAAGAGTTTAAATTTATCAAATAAGTCATTTGAGCCTATTCTTATTATAGAATGGTAGATTATGGAATTCTTTAAATTTCAAATTTGGAACACTATGGTGACTTAAAATGACACCTTTCACCTTAACTGTGAGGAAAATGACTCAGAGGAATAAAGTGATTTATCTTGTGTCCCATGGGGTCTAATATCTATGATTATAAATTCCACTGTCTGTTTGAATGTTTTTCCCTCTTTTTCCCCGTTAACAAGAAGTCTAGGTCCGACATATGATCAACCTTTGGATTAAGTAGACCAGGTCATTATGTTGTTTAAGTACCAGGTTATGAATCAGTAGATGATTGATTGCTACTTATTATTCTACTTAATGCCATATAAAGTAGAAAAGGAATTATGTAATCAAATTAATGACATTTATTATTGTTATCTGTCACCTTCATTTGATACATTTTATTACTGAAGTAAAATCGTTTTATGGTGTCAATTGTGATATTTAAATATTCCATGTAATAAGATGACGTGGAAGAAATCTATTGTAAGATTGTAAGGTTGAAAATCTATAATAAGATTATTATTTAAGTGGCTTAGATGGTGACTATCTTTCTGAAGAGCTGACATATAGAGCCAAGACATAACTATTTGAAGGACTCAGCCAAGAAAAGAGCTGAGGGAGCAACTGTCTAAGTAGTTTTTATCTCTTGTGGAGTTTTGGTGTAGTATTAAAAAAAACACTAGTATTTGAGAAGACTATTAAAATGCTGCTCCCTTTTCCAGGTTCATATGTATGGGAACCTGGATTTTCTTTATATATTTCAACCAAACAACATATTGCAAATGATTGAATGCAGGAGAAAATATGAACACCTGGCTGTTTTCCTTTTTCTATCTAGTTCTGTTTGTTTAAGCCAGACATTAAAGGGATTTGAAAAAGTCTCTATCAGTGCCATTTTTCACCTTTTTTCGTTTTATTTTTGACAAGTATATATTTTTTTTATTTTATTATGTTAGTCACCATACAGTATAGTTTTTCATTAAAAAGATATGTTAAAATGTAATGGACTTATTATTTTAAATGATAAATATCATAATGTGTCTTAGGTTTCATATATTAAATATTGATATGTATAATCCACATAAAACATAAGTTCTTTGGAGTACTGAATAATTTTTAAGACTGTAAAGGAATCCCAAGACCAAAACATTTGAGAACCACTGGTGTAAACAGCATTATCTAATCTAGATACTATTGGTTCACAAAGCCAGCAAATCCAGATCCACTTTCTGTTAAAGGGGAAGTGAGAACATGTTCATGAGGTGTTAAAGACATAGCTAGCCACCATATGAGACTTTCTTCTTGATATAAAGATTGAAGAAAATTGAAGCAGAAATTATTTTTCTCACTGTTATTTAATACTATCTGTATAGTTCCTATAAAGATCCAGAGTACCCTGAGTATTATGTTTCTTATGCTTGTAAATTTTGGGTCTGATGATAACTTTTTTGGGATGATCCTTATCTTTTCATTTTGCTTCTACGTAATTTATAATCTTATATATAAATGTTTATTGCCATTGATTTTCTATCTTCAGTTCTGTAAATCTTGGAAGGGTACAGTCTTCAGTATGATTTCATTGGATGGCTCACTAACATATTGTATGTTAACAGCCAAATTCTGAACTATGGCTAAGAAAAACTTCACCTAATCAGTTAACCAGCATCTAATATATTCATTTATTCATTTTTTAACCATCATCTGATATATGAACATTCAGTTCAAGTCCTAAATTTAGTTGGCTACCTGATGTTCCAGGCTTGATTGATGCCAACAGTGTTTGGGCAGTGTTTAGAACTCATATACTTGCTTCAGGATTATGGGATAAAAACTATTTATTTTGATGAATGCCCATTTTGGCTCTCCACTTTGAAAGTATGTGTAACAGCACACCAACATTAGTTTATTTGTGCCGGGGGAAAAGAATGGGCAAAAATCATTTCCTTAACTCTTAGGTGGTAACACTGAGAATATTTTATTTGTAAAATACTTTAACTCCATGAAACTTATAAGTTGTTTTGTTTTAATCTAATTGAGTTATAATGAATATGTGACTGGAAATAATAATAATTCACTTTGAGGCTGAAAATATTCCAAAAAACAATTAGATTGTCTCCGTAGAAATTTAAAAAATATATACAAGGAAAAGAGTAGGCTTCCTAAGATTAAAATATATAGTCTCTATGAGAAGAGGCTCCTTGTCTGTCTTACTCTGTACTATATCCTAAGTGCTGAACATTATGTACAACATATGATAGGCACTGAATAAGTAGTTGTCTAATAAATGAGCATTCTTTTTTTATATATTTTTATAAGTAGATGGTAAAGATTTGGAAATTTAATGGTAATTGCTTCTTATTGATAGAACAAGGAGGAATGAGGATCTCAATTAATAATACTTAGATTTCCTTCCTCTCTGTAGGGCATTCTTCCACAATAAAGCAAGAAAAAAATTGCAGGGTCATTATTTTTTTTAGCATGCATGTTGATCGTTATAAAAGCAATTTTGGTATAACTTTGTGAAGAATGGTCCTTGCCTTTAAAACAAGGAATTATTTCTTTTTTCATGCCATGGCACTGACGCTTTTTCATTTTGTATTCAATATGGTGTATTAGGAGACCAAGGCTTGGATTCCAATCCTGACACTTTTCCTCTCTGATCTTAGCAAGTCACTTAACGTTTCTAGTTTAATATCTCTTGATGTAAAATGGGGAAAGAAAGCTATTTTGTGTAGTGGAGATGAGCATGAAATTTAGTATAGTAGCCTTCATTCAGGCAGTCAGTATTTTATTCAGTTGCTCAGAACTGAGTACTGGGGATCTAATGTGAGCAAAATAGATGTTTCTGCCTCCATGGCACTTAGAGACTAGAGGAGTGGAGAGACACTAATCAAACAATCATATAGATAATAAAGAATGTACAGGATGCTCTGGAAAAGTAATAAAAGCCAGGTCCTATTAAAACTTAGTTTCTAGCAAATTCACAATATTAATTTAATGGTTCCTATACCTATAGGTTAAGACACTAAATTAGTTTTCTTTAAAAGAAACTTACTTTGTAACTGAAACATTTTTGAAATTTTACTTATCATCAGATATCTAACATTTGTTAGTTATTTATGTACCAGATGCAATGCCACATACTTCATGGGCATTTTCCATTTTAATACCTTCCAAAAACCTTGAAAATAAATAACACTATTCTTGTACAGGTAAAGAAATTGAGGTTAAATAATTTGTCCAAGGGCACATAAATAGGCCATGCAGAACTGCATTGAAACCCAGCCCTGTCTGAACTTTTTCAACATGCCTAGTTACCATACTGCTTCATGTTATTACTTAAAGTCATGAATTTAAAGTGATACTGCACATAAGGGTGGCTAGCTTATTTTAGGACAAAAATCAGGTGAATATTATATGTATAGTACCTTTCTGTTTAAAACATAATGGTTTTTGTGAATATTAAAAATCTCAAATTTTATTTTTAAGAAGTGAGTTAACCTTAGCATTTATTGATAGTGTATCTGTGCCAAACTGAAATAATTTAGCATTCTACCTCAACCCCCTACTTCCCTTTCCTCCTCCAAAGGTTTTCTTTATTTCCTAAACATAGTCAGGGAGTAGTGATATTTTACAGCAACTTCTATTAATCTGATCATACATAATTCTTTTTTTTTTTTGATCATACAGATTTCTACCTCAGTTCCTCCTGGAGCAATTCATTATTGAATTATGAATGTGGGATTGGTAATGATATCTTTCCCATCTGGTTACTTAACAAGAATCTCAGTTACAGAATTTATTTTTTTATACTCCCAGAGGACCTATGGTTTTGGCACTACTTATAAAATCATAAGACATCAATAGAAAATCACTCAATTTAAGCAAAAATAGGGAATACTTTGACTACTTAACATTTATGTATTTACTCACTGCCATTTATTCAGTAAGTATGC